ACATCCATCGCGCGGTGCACCAGGCGCAGGGAGAGGCGGCGCGCTGCGTCTTCCACACGCACATGCCGCACGCGACCGCGCTGACAGTACTGACCGACAACCAGCTGCCAATGGTCCACCAGAACTGCCTCAAGTTCTTTGGCGAGGTCGCCTCGTACGACCGGTACCACGGCCTGGTGCACGACGGCGACGAGGCCTCGCGCATCGTCGACGCCTTCGGCTCGGCGCGCTGCCTGATGATGGCCAACCACGGCGTGATCGTCACGGGCGAGACGGCGGCGGAGGCCTTCGACTCGCTCTACTACCTCGAGCAAGCGGCTAAGCTCGTCACGATCGCCATGTCGACGGGCCGGCCGCTCCGCCCGATCGACCCGGCCGTCTGCGCGGCGACGGCCGTGGCGATGCGCGACGAGCGGCCGCTCTACGCGCGACGGCACTTTGACGCGCTGCGCCGCACCATGCTGCGCGGCCAGGACTACGGGCAGTGCGAGGGCGAGGACCTTGACGCGTCGCGGCACGCGCCCAGCCCGTACTCGTGAGTCGACGGCGTCTATGAAACACCGGCTCACTAAAAAAGAATTTAAATAAAACAACTAAAAAAGAAAAGGATATTCGCGATCGCGTCCACGAGGCGAGGCCGCTCACGCGGCCCGATGGGGAGGAACGGGGCGAGCCCCCTCCAACCCACCCGCGCTAGGTCCCGGGGGACGCAGGGGTCAGCGGCCCCGCGCGACCTCGGGAACTAGCCGGGGCAGTCGGAGAAGTGGCAACTCCGTGCACTGACGGTCGGCCGCCAGAAAACACGCCTGCGTGGCTCGGGTTACACCAATCCTCGCTACCCAACGATATCCCCTCGAGAAACACGAGAAAAAAGAAAAGGAAATCCTGCCCGTCCACGTCGGTCCGATGAGCAATCGGGAGGAGCGATGGGAGGCGCTTCGGATGTACCTCTGGCCGGCCGGCGCGCCGCCTGAGGCGGCCAGCAGCTGGGCCGGCGACGGTGCAGAGCCGAGCCCCTCCGACGCGGACGAGCTGCAGCAGCGCGGGCAGGAGATGCAGTCGCGCGGCGAGGAGCTCGCGCTCAAGGGCGCCGAGCTCCAGCTGCGCGGCCAGGAGCTGCAGCTCGCGGGCGAGGAGCTGTCGCTGAGGCATTCTGGGCGGG